CCTTTTCTTTAGTGTTTTGTATAGACAAAAACAGTGAGTTGGCAACATGTTTGTTTTATAATGCAGATAGTTCTAAAATTCTTAAATCATTAAAAAAACTTAAGACAATCTAGGCATTGGAGATAAGGTGCTACCTAACATGCATACACTTTGGGTTTATTCCCTGAATTGCAAAACAAAAAAAAAGGGGAGGGGGGAAAATGTAAGTGACTATATTACCAAATTCAATGTTAAATCAGGATACATTCATTACATATATCACCACAGGGACAAAAAAATTTTAACTATGTTAGTACTAAACTACATATACTATCTACTACTTGGGAAATCAATCAATCTCTGCTAGTACTATCAGTGTTTACCTGTAATGATTTAAATTTGTATAAACAAGTGGGCTTTTGGAGTTCAAAATACAGATAACAGATAATATAGCTCAATCTTCTAATTTTATAGATCAAGAAGTGGAGGACTAGAGCTGGGCATCGATGGCTACTTGGAAGGCTGAGATCTGAGGATAATGCCTCCATGCCAGCCAGCAGGAAAGTCCATGAGACTCTTATTGTTATTTTAAACCATCACTCTAAGCACAGGGCTAGGAATGTGATTTAGTGGAAGAGTGCTTGCCTAGCATACATGAAGCCCTAGGTTCTAATCCTCAGTACCACATAAGCAGGAAAAGCCAGAAGTGGTGCTGTAGCTCACATGGTAGAGTGTTAGCTGAGCAAAAGAAGCTCAACAGTGCCCAGGCCGAGTTCAAGCCCCAGGACTGGGGGAAAAAAAAAAAAGCTATGCACACGTTTCCTTCATGGTAAAAGCACCAATTTCCAGTTATAGCCATTTTCCTTTAATATTGATAGTATTACCTACAAGTTTCATGATAAAGTCCTAATGAAATAAAAATACAGTGAGTTCCTATTAAGAAAAAGTGTGTAGGCTGGGAAGTTGGCTCAGTGGGAGAGTGCTTGCCTTGCATGCATGAGGCCCTGGGTTCGATTCCTCAGCACCACATAAGCAGAAAAAACCGGAAGTGGCGCTGTGGCTCAAGTGGTAAAGCGCTAGCCTTGAGCTGAAGAGCTGAGGGACAGCGACCAGGCCCAGAGTTCAGCCCCCACGACCGGATCCAAAAAAAAGAAAAAGTGTGTTTACACACACACACACATACATATATGCTTTAAGCCAGGGGAAAGCCACTGACAGTTAAACAAAATTAGAGAACTGAAGCTGGGTGCTAATTTAAAGTAATAAAGCACAAAAAAACACACCAAAATAGCAAAAAGACTTGCAACAAATTCTTTAAACCACCTATGGCAAGATACTTCAACACATTAGTGCATTAAATATGGACAATGATATAATAATGTTCAAATATTCTGTTTTTAAAGTAATAAGAGGAAAAAAATCAACAGGTATTTCCTAAAATGAACAACTATTGTAAGAATTTAAGATAGTGTTATAATAACAGAACTACTTCATCCACTATGAATGGTTATCAAATTTCATTTGCCTGAATAATAGGTGTTGCTTGAAATAAAAATCTAACTAAAAACACACAGCAAAATATGTGGAGGTCAACTGTTTTGCAAATTCATAGTAACATGTACCAAATAAGACAGCCTTTAAGAAGTCAAAATACATGTTCTTCGTTTAGAGGAGAACTACTGAATTGCAACTGAAAACAGAATTTATACAAAATTTTAACAAACCAGAATATTTTCAAGGCTAGAGCTATTTCAGAAGGAAATCAAAACAATTTCACTTCGAAGATTAAAAAAAAAAAAAGAAGAAGAAGAAGGCTCCAAACATGATTGGGCCAGGAAATCCAAATTTTCTAATCTAGTAAATTCATGTCCTTGTATAGTCTTGCCAGCATGGGAAGGCAACTTTGAAAATTGCCTGAAGAGAAGATAAAAAGTCTAAGAGGGCTGGGGATGTAGCTCAGTGCTGGAGCACTGGCTAGCTAGTGCAAAGCACCGGGCTTTGATCTCCAGTAAAACACAATGGGGGGGGGGGGGGTCCTTACTAAAAAGCCCTAGGTAGCAAAAAAATTCAAAAGTTGGTCAATAATTCTGAGTCAAAGGAATGGCTTACCAATGTACAACGAACTCTTAAGTGTGAATTGCTAAAAAAAAAAAAAAAAAAATCCCAAATAGTTACATTAAATGGGGAGAGGGAAGATAAAATTTTAGGTATATGGAAACATGAAAGAGAGAAGCAACCATTCTAAGTATCTACCTACATACAGAGTTTTTTATGATGCGATTTTAAAACTATTATTGGCCATAATGCCATACACTCAGATATATTTTTAGCTTTTCTGGTTTTGGTTTCAGAAAGGCAATTTCCGACCCCCAAATTTCCAAAACAACTAAATGTTTTTTGGATGCAATGTGACCACGATTGAAAAAAAAAAAAAGCCTTCCCCTGCATTATGAGATTAAGCTCGATGCACAAAATGGTGCTTTTGTAACATTTCTAAAACGGCTATTCTTTTATTCTTGCCAGCAGATGTTATCTTCGCTCCTACAAAGACTAAAGAAGAGCTAATCAAATTAGCAGATTTACTCCTTCTTAGCAAACAAGCGGCTCGAAACCGTCGTCTTCCTCCTAAAAGGCCTGCGCCGCTTTCAGCTCCTCCCAATAGTGGGAAAACTTGGAAAAAAGCTCAGATAAGACCCCGAACTTGACTTATAGGGCATTTCTCGGTAAAGTAGCCAATGCCACTAAAGCACGTACAGCAGCAGCTGCCCTACGAGAGGAAAAGGTCGGAGTAGGAGGAAAGCTTGTATTCATGATTAATCCCTGACCATTTTGGCTGTTCGCCCGTCACCCTCTAATCCTAACCTGACAGGACAGCCGGCTGCACCTCCTCCCCACCAGTCATCCCACCTACCCCGCGGTATCGTTCAGTTTGAGGATTTCGAAGCATCAAAAATCAACCTCAATCTTCCGAGTCGAGGCCGCCGTCGCTGCCGCCATATTACAGCTTGTGCGGCAGAATGCGTCAGGGAGGGAGGTGTGCGCCCGTGTGGGGAGGGCGGGGGCTGGCGGGGGAAGAGCCGTTTCCTAGGCCCCGGAGGCTTGGCAGCAATTCGGCTCCGGTGGCGGGAGCTTCCCAGCCAACGCCTCGGTCTCCGGGCCGCCCCTCAGGGCCTGGGCCTCCCCTCGGGGCCCGAGCTGCCCAAACCTCTCGAGAGAAGACAGTTACCTCAGCCCGGGCAGCCGCGCCGGCTCCGCCCCTCTTCCCGGGGCCTTCCCGCTCTCGAACCCCGGGACCTCAGCAACGACGCCACTAAAACAACGCAAGCCCGACGCCACTTACCGGCACTGCTACTTTCCTCTTCCCTAGGCTCCGTCCTTTAAAGCGCTTCAAATATACCGCCGTCAGAAAAGGCGCTAAAACCTACTAACCGCCTCCCTCCCCCACCGCCCAGTCCCGGCGTGGAGGGAATGCGTCGCACCGGAAATACGTCACCGACAGGGTGACGGGTCTCCCGGCATTCTCCGGCTTATCAGGCTAGCGTGCTCACCTTGGATTTATGGGATTTCGTTGCCTTTTTGCGTGTGTGTGCACGCTTGCGTGCCCGTGTATGTGTGTGCGCACGCGCGTGTTTATGGCAGCCCTGGAGACTTGAACTCAGGGCCTGGACGCTGTCCCAGAGCTTTTGTGCTCAAGGCTATAGCCTTACCACTTGAGTCACAGCTCCACTTCCGGCTTTTCTGGTGGTTAATTGAAGAGTCTCATGGGCTTTCCCGTGTGAGCTGGTTTTGAACCAGGATCCTCAGATCTCAGCCTCCTGAGTGTTGTAAGGTAAATCATCCCAGAAGCCACATTTTAAAATATAGAGTATTGGAGTCTTTATTATACAGTTAACAGGCTGCAGGCTGCCAGTTATTACAAAAGCCTGAGGCACACAAATACACAAAACACAGCTAGGAAACATGCTAAAGAGGAAAGAAATAAAAACAATACCAACAAGCCAATTCAGCTCGTGATGCCATCACTGGAGAGGACACAGGACACAGAGACACATGTAGCATGGTCCCTGTGGCTAGGCTGGTCTGGGCCTAAATAGGTGGGCTCAGGGGACAGATCCTCAGGAAATTCCTAGTCCCAGGCACTAGACTGACAAACTCAGTAACCTATCAGCCAAGTGTCTGCTCCTGCCTCCAGGGGTCCCGGCAGGCCCATTACCTGGGAGGCAGGTGATGAGGGGGAGGGAGGAGAGGAGGTTGTTAGCAAAACTAGTCCCTTCCCATAGTTTTGTCCACTCCCTTTCTCCACAGCTTAGCATGCCCTCTTCCTAGGCAACACCGGGCCTACTTAGTAAAGGCAGTAAATAATCAACTTCCAGCCCCCTTTACCTTGGGATGGCACTTCTGTGGTGCAGCTACCACCATAAAGGCAACAAGAGCCCCTTACAGTGACCTTCAGGAGTGGACAGCTGCAGGATCCTTATCTACTACTTGGATGGCAGCCATAAATCCTAGTCCACCATGATGAAGCCCCTGGCTCACACATCTACACCAAGGTCTCAGCCTCCTAGTCCCTTCTATCCCCTCCTAAACTTCCTAGGTTATATAGGTCACCCCAGACAATAGCCTGGGCTGCTTCTCATTCCTTCCTTGTGAGCAAGAGGCTTGCGGGGAGGGCCCTCTCTCAGCAATAAACCTTTCGTTGTTCTATGTTCTATGTACCTGGATGTCTGTGTGGTTCTCTGGCAAAGTCTATTAATCTTAATTTTGCTAACCGGGTTCCTTCCCTCAGCATTAAGACAAGATGCCAGACCCTACCATCCACCATGTGGCCAATACACTGGCCAGACCTGACCTCCTTTCTTCATGAGTAGCTAGGATTACATGCATGAGTGACCAGTACGTGGCTCAATTCCTTTTTTTTTTTTTTTTTTTTGTTCTCTAATGGTCTTTTAAAAAAAATTTTTGGTCCAGGTGCCGGTGTCCCAAATTCCATTCAGGGATTTGGCTGTTTTCCACTGGTCCAGTTAGTCCTGGTGGATCCAGAGAGTTTCAAGGCACTGAGGAATTATGGAAGAAACCTGTGTCTTATTCTGTTTAGTATTACTAATAGATAATAATGGATAATAATCTCTACCAGATAAGTTTTAAAGAAAGCTTATTTTGGCTCATGGTTCTGGGTATCCAAAGTCAAGAGTCTCATCTGTAGATGACCTGTAGATGACCATTTAGCTGACAGTGTCCCAAAGTGGTGCAGGATATCACATGATGAAAGTCAGGAAGCTTTTGTATAATCTTCCAGACATTCTCTTTGTATAATCACCACTATTTAAGACTGGAGATGTAGCTTGTGGTAGAATGCTTGCCCAACACACAAAAGGCCCTCGGTTCTGTTCTCAGTATCTCCAAATGAAAGAAAACAAAAGAAAGAAACGTCACCAAAATGCAATAATCATAAAATCATCTTTGGATCATGACTTTATATAATCCTAATTGTTTGCCAAGGTCTCACCTTTAAACATCTAAAATGGAGTAGGTGTCCACCTTCTTAAGGTTTACAGTGAGCAGCAGAAGAAACAGACCATATTCAAATGAAAATCTGTGTGGAGAAAAGTCTTTCTTGACCAGAGATATTTGTATTGGTATGTGATATAACTGAGAAATAACCGTTGATGTTTGGCTTTATTCATTATACACAGCACACAGTACTATTCATCTGTAGCTCATGGGCCTGACAGGCTAGATTTGGCCTAGCCTTATGTCTTTGAAATAAGGAGAATGGGTTTTCTTTCTTGGTTTGCTTCCTTCTTTCTTTCTTTCTTGCCTTTTTTTTTTTTGCCAGTTGTGGGGCCTGAACTCTGGGCCTGGGTGCTGTCCCTCAGCTCTTCAGCTCAAGACTAGCACTCTACCACTTGAGCTACAACGCCACTTCCGGCTTTTTCTGCTTATGTGGTGCTGAGGAATGGAACCCAGGGCCTCATGCATGCAAGGCAAGCGCTCTACCTCTGAGCCCCCTTCCCAGCCCCCTTCTTTATTTCTTTCCTATTTTCTGTTTCCTTCCTTCATTGGTGCTTGAACTCAGGGCCTCTGGTTCTCACTTCTATTTTTGCTCATGACTACTACTATATCACTGAGCCATGCCTCCACTTTTTGCTGGTAAATTAGAGATAAAATCTGGAAGTTTTGGCTGCCTGGGATGGTTTCCTCAGATCTCAGCTCATGAAAAGCAAGGATTACATACTGAGCAATGAATGGATTCTGATACCAAAAGAAGGAGTATGGGTGGACTAGGCTAGGTTAACTATGGAGTTAACTTTTATCTTTACTTTTTATTTATTTTAAATTTATTTTTAAATACTTTTTTATTGTGAAAATACTGTACAGAGGGGTTACAATCACATGAGCAAGGTAATGAGTACATTTCTTATCAAGGATTGTTGCCTCCTCCTTTGTTTTTCCCCTACCATCCCTACCCTCCTACCTCCACAACTACATTCCTCCCCTCTCCCACTCCCCACCTCTGCGCACCTAAATTGTAAAGTTCGTTTTTCAGCATAGTGTCTTGTACATCTCATTGTTGCAATGAGTCAACCTGTATCCCTATTTGAACAATTTGTTTAAATTTATTTTTATTTATTTATTTTTTGTTGGTCATGGGGCTTGAACTCTGGGCCTGGGAGCTGTCTCTCAGCTCTTTAGCTCAAGGCTAGTGCTCTACTGCTTGAGCCACAGCGCCACTTCCAGTTTCCTGGTGGCTTATTGGAGATGAGTCTCACAGACTCTCCTCCCCAGCTGGCTTTGAACTGCTATGCTCAGATCTCAGTCTCCTGAGTAGCTAGGATTACAGGTTACTTTTTATTTTTTCTTCAAGTAAAGAGTATATTTCAGGGGCTGGGAAGGTGGCTCAGTGGTAAAGCGCTGGCCTTGCATGCCTGAGGCCCTGGGTTCGATTCCTCAGTACCACATAAGCAAAAAGAAAAAAGCCAGAAGTGGCACTGTGGCTCAAGTGGTAGAGTACTAGCCTTGAGCTGAAGAGCTGAGGGACAGCGCCCAGGCCCAGAGCTCAGACCCCACAACCGGACCCAAAAACAAAACAAAACAAAAAGTATATTTCATTTTAGACAATATCATCCCTTGCCCCACTTTCTCCCTGTTTTTCCCAAGTGTTTTAGTTCCATTTTCAACATCCTGTCTAGTGAGTACCATTGCTGCATTTGTTCACCTTTTGTCCCTTCCCTCTCTTTTGGAAATTGCCTATTAACGACAGTATGTTTAACTTTTTTAAAAAGCATGTTTGTTTTCACATATATTTCATAGAAACAGGAGCTATTGTAAAAACATGGTTTTTTAGATGCCCTACTGCTATGCTTCCCAGGCTGGTCTTGAACTCATAGATTCAAAACAATGTTCTTGCTCTAGCTTCCCAAGTAGCTCAGACTATTTGCATGTACCACCATACCTGGTTTATTGTAAAAGTTTAAACAGTCTATAAAAGTTTGAAGTTTAATAACTCTCCCTAACCCCATCCAAAGCCATTCTCCTAAGGTATTTGTTCCTATCTGTGCTACCACTAAAAATGGTTAGCTAGCCAGAAATGATGGTACATACTCTTAGGAGGCTTAGGCTGTAGGATCATTTGAGCCAGAAATTAAAGACGACCTTGGGCAGTATAGTAAGATCTTGCCTCAAAACACAATGGCCAGGGAGTGTTATTCAGTGATAGTGTTGCCTACCATGTATGATGCTCTGGGTTCATTGTTAAGAGCATAGGTAACTAACTATGGAAAGCACACATCTGTAATCATAGTACTTGGAAAGTTGAAACAGGAAAAACTTGAGTTCAGGGCCACACTGGACTACATAGCAAAACCCTATTTCAAAATCAACAGTGTGTGTGTGTGTGTGTGTGTGTGTGTGTGTGTGTGTGTGTGTGTGTGTGTAATAAAATTCACCATCTTAAATTTTTTTCTTAGTTGTGGGGCTTGAAGTCAGGGCCTGGGTGATGTCCTTTAGCTTCTTTGTGCTCAAGGCTAGTGGTCTACTACTTTTGTCTACTACCACTATGTCACTTCTGGCTTTTGAGTGGTTTATTGAGGATAAGACTCTCTATGAGGACTTTTCTGATGGGGCTGGCTTCAAACTGTTTTCCTTAGATCTCAATCTCCTGAGTAGCTAGGATTACAGGCGTGAGCCCCTGGCACCCCAGCCATCCTAACTTTTAAGGTTATAATTCAATAGGAAAAAGTACATTCTATTTTTTGGTCATGAGTCTTGAACTCTGGGCCTGGGTGTTATCCCTGTGTTCTTCAGCTCAAGACTGAGCCACTTCCAGTTTTCTGAGTGGTTTATTGGAGATAGTCTCACAGACTTTTCCTGCCCAGGCTGGCTTTGAATCATGATCATCAGATCTTAGCCTTCTGAGTAGCTAGGATTACAGGCATGAGCCACCAGCACTCGGTGAAAAAGTACATTCTTATTGTTGTGCATCCTATGTCCAGAACTCCTAATCTCACAAAGCTGAAACTTATTCAATGCCTCATTTTTCCCCTCCCCTAGCTGCTGACAAATATCAATATACTTTCTGTCCTTATAAATTTGAGGGTTTCAGATAAATGGCATTAGGTTTTGGGGACTAGCATATATCTCTCTTTTGTGCTGGGGTGCTAAGCAAGCTGAATTGAACACTGCTGAACTCACTGAACTCTACTCCTAGTCCCCTTTTTTGTCTTGTGAATGAGAGGTGTTGACACAGATTGTACTGTTATATCTTTTTTTTGGGGGGGGGGTGTCCTGTTGGGGGGCCTGAACTGGGCCTGGGCGCTGTCCCTCAGCGCTTCAGCTCAAGGCTAGAGCTCTACCACTTGAGCCACAGCACCACTTCCGGCTTTTTTCTTTTTGCTTATGTGGTGCTGAGGAATCGACCTAGGGCCTCATGCATGCAAGACAAGCGCTCTACCACTGAGCCACCTTCCCAGCCCCTGTACTGTTACATCTTATACCGTTACCTTGCTATACTTTTCTCAGATTTTCATTTAAATCTCTGAGTATTTTGATCAACAATGTATTATCAGTCAGTCTATCTAGTTCCAAACAACATATATAACTACTACTGAGTGTGGTCTGGGATTCGTTGTTGCCTTCGTTTTTGGAGAACAGCTGAAGGCAGCAGGCTGTAAGGAGTCTGCAAATGGTTACTGACTATCTTTCTGGAGTTACAAAAGTGTTTCAAAATTAGTTGAGCCCTAGTGGCTCAAGTCCTTTATCCTAGTTATTCAGAAAGCTGAAGTCTGATATTGGGTGTTTGAAGTAAGGCTGTGCATACTTGTACTTTCTGCTAATTAGGAGACTAAGGCTGTAGGATCATTTGAACCAAAAGTTTAGACACGCTTGGGCAGTATAGTAAGACTTTGCTTCAAAACAATGGCTGAGGCGTGTTATTCAGTGATAGTGTTTGCCTACCATGTATGATGCCCTGGGATTTTGTTGTTGTTGTTGTTCGTGGGGCTTGAACTCTGGGCTTGGGCACTGTCCCTCAGCTCTTCAACTTAAGGCTAGTGCTCTACCACTTGAGTCACAGCATCACTTCCGGTTTTCTTAGTGGTTGTTGGGGATAAGAGTCTCATGGACTTTCCTGCTGGGGCTAGTTTTGAACCCTGGTCCTCAGATCTCAGCCTCCTGAATAGCTAGGATTACAGGTGTGAGCCACCGGCACCCAGCTGTCCTGGGATTCTTATTTCCAATTGACTACCAAAAAAAGCCAGAAGTGGACCTGTGACTTCAGCACAAAAGCTCAAGGACTGAGAGCCCAGACCTTGAGTTCAAGCCCCAGAACCCCTCCTCCCCCCAATTCTGTGTATGCCTTTTCTATGTTTACTTTTTGTTTGTTCCTTTTTACTTTTATTTTGGAGCATTGTCCCTCTATGCAGTCCAGGCATGCTTTGAACTTGCAATCCCTTGCCTTGTAGCAGTGGACCCTAACGAGCTTACTGTTTTCATTTATAATTTCAGTTTAAAATACAATCTTTCTTCTATGTATTATAAATATAATAACTGCTTAAAGGACAGGGAAGATCCTCAGCAGTAGAAAGACACTGACCTGAAGGCCCTGAATGTTCTCCAGTAGGTTGGATGTGGGCTTTGCTCTTCTCATTGAGGAAAAAAACTACCAATCCCAGAATTCCTGTAAAGGCGTGCGTGACGTTCACGCTTCGCGCGAAGCCTTCTGGGAACTGTAGTGTGGGTCTCCCGGGCGCACGTTTCCTCAGGGCGCTCCTCTGCCGGAGGAGACCGGCTCTTTGGAAGATGGTGTCTCTCGTGGAAAGTATAAGCACCCTGGGATAGAAGGGGTAAGCGAAGAATCGAGCGGCTGGGGCCAGGGATATCGCTGACTTCGGAGCCGTCGCAACCTTCCACACTCCGGGATTCCGCCGCCGGGGAAGAGCGCGCCGGCGAGTCCCGGCCGGGCAGCGGCTGCGGTGCTTCCTCGCCGGAGTTCGGCGGCGAAAGGGAGCGCTTTCTCGGTGGCCCTGTGTTCGCTGAAGCTCAGAGGACCGCCGTGGGGCTGAGCCCGATGCTGCCGGGATCGCGGAGACCGTCCTCCCTCCCGCGCTCCCGCGCTGGCCGCCGCCTCAGCGCGCCTGTCACTCGCAACCTTTGAACTCCGCACCCTGCGGGTTCACCGGGAGTCCACCCGCCGCTTGCTAACAGCCAAGCCTCTTCCGTTAGTTAAATGGCTTCGCCAAGGTCACTCAGCGGGGGCCGAGGCCTCTCTTTACTCAAATCGTCGTGTGGTCTACACGTTGAGTGTGCGTGAGTAGCACTTTTCCCTTGTGCAAGGCTGGTTGTGGAAGTGTGCGGCTCAGGGCAGCTTTGGGTCAGCGGGTCACGCACATTGCCACAAACAAGGCAGAGCAGTCGCGTGGTGTACAGTTTTGCATAACTTTAAATAAGGGTGTGAGGCCAATTGCTAGTGATAGCATGTTTGTTTATAAGGGGGGGTGTAGTCTCAGCTTCTCCAGTATACGAGAGAGAGAGAGAGAGAGAGAGAGAGAGAGAGAGAGCGCGAGCGAGAGAGAGAGAGAGAGAGAGAGAGAGAGAGAGAGAGAGAGAGAGAGAGGACAGAGGGGGGGGAGAGAGAGGGGGAGAGAGAGAGAGTCGGAACTTGACCTGAGGGCTTCTGGTTCTCCTCCTCATCTCGGTCTCCTTTTTGTCTCTGCTTTTTTCCTCAAGTCTGGTGCTCTTGAATCATTTGAGCTCAGCCTCTAGGGTAGTTAGGATAACAGGTGTAAGTCTCCAGTCCTCCCATATATTTTTTTTCCCCCAAAAACCTTGTTAAACCTCTTTTTCCTTGTGTGAAAATGGAAATGATACTATCTTCCTAGTAAGTTAGTTAAGAATTTAATGAGATGATGTTTTTAAAAAGTTCTTTGTAAACCAGGGAACAGTGGCTCATGCCTGTAATCCTAGCTACTCAGAACTTGGAGATCCGAGGATAGTGCTTCAAAACCAGCCCAGGCAAGAAAGTACATGAGACGCATCTTCAGTTAATCACGGAAAAGCTCAAGGACAGCACTGAGACTCTGAATTCAAGTCCTAGAAACACACACACAGTTTTTTGTCGTCTAATATGTACAAGGTTTTTCTTTTTCTTTGTGGGTCATGAGGCTTGAACTCCGGCCTGGGCGCTGTCCCTCAGCTCTTCAGCTCAAGGCAAGCACTCTATCACTTGAGCCACAGGGCCACTTCAGGTTTTCTGGTGGTTTATTGGAGATAAGAGTCTCACGGACTTTTCTGCCCCAGCTGGCTACGAACATCGATCCTCAGATCTCAGCCTCCTGAGTAGCTAGGATTACAGGCTTGAGCCACTGGCCCCTGGCTAAGGTTTTCCTTTTTAAATTTCATTCCTAACCTAAATGTTTCTTTTTTCTTTTTTAATTGTGAAAATACTGTATAGAGGAGTTACAATTACATGGGCAAGATAATGAGTACATTTCTAATCAAGCATTGTTGCTTCCTCCTTTGTTTCCCCTTCCCATCCCTTCCCATCTCCCTTCCCCTCCCCCCGTCTCCCCTAAATGTTTCTTGATTGGTGTTGTAAACAACTAATTTATTAAGACCTATGAAAAGTTATTAAGTAATTTAATGGCACAATTACATTCTTTTAGGGCACAAGAAGAAAGGGGCGAGAAATTACCCTGAAAGCTGAGATGCCAGAGACTATTCTTCTTTTTTTTTTTTTTTTTGGGTCCGGTCGTGGGCCTGAACTCTGGGTCTGGGCACTGTCCCTCAGCTCTTCAGCTCAAGGCTAGCGCTCTACCACTTGAGCCACAGCGCCACTTCCGGGTTTTTTCCTTTTTGCTTATGTGGTGCTGGGGAATCGAACCCAGGGCCTCATGCATGCAAGGCAAGCGCTCTACCACTGAGCCACCTTCCCAGCCCCAGAGACTATCCTTCTAAAAATTAAAAAAAAAAAAACAAGAAAATAGAACAAAACAACCCTTTCTGATTTTAGCCTTTTTTTTTTTTTTTCTTCTGCTCTCATGGTCAAATTTGAAAATTTAGGTAATATCAGACAGATGTTTTTAAAATAGGGTGCTGGTAGAAGCTCTTTTTTTCTGGATACTTCAGTTTGGATCAGAAATTGCTACTGGTTCAGATTAAGATCAGTCTCTAGTTAATGCAAAAAACACCTTGTTACTTTAAACCTGAGTTTTTAAAATAATATGATATTAATAAGATGAAAATAAACATGTCAAACCAATTGTTTTACAGAAGCCGTGTGGTAGAAGACTTAGTGTTATCCTAATGGAAAGCAGACCTGTTACCTTGTCACCAGCAGATTGCACTTGGCTACTAATTGCAGATAGCTTTCAATATCTAAGAAATTTTGCAATATAAAGTTAAAAAACCTTTTTTTCCTAGACTCTGGTTATAAATATGTTTCGTGTAAGAGCTATTTCAACATTCCCCTGGAGAATGTTTCAGTTTCGACCCTTCAGTTGTGAATCATTAATTGTTAAGATGAATAACTGCACAGATGAAGAGCAAGTCTTTGATCTTATTGAAAGAAACAAAGCCATACTTACAGAAGAGCAAGTGGAATGTGCATTTAGTACACTTTGGAGATTTCAAAAGCAGAAGATCAACTTGTTAAGAAATGTTGAGAGTGTCAGAGACCATCCAAAATTTCTTACTCTTCATAATTTAGCTACAAGTAAAATCAAATTAATGGATGACAGTACCTTGGTGAATGTGTTGTACATCATACAACAGTAAGTTACTTTTAGATTGTTACTGAAATGAATATATTTCAATTTTCTAAAAATCTTTAAAATGAAAAATTGTTTCCTCCCTAAAAGATAGTTTTACACATAATATGGTATCTTAAAGATGTTTGGAGAACGGGCTGGGAAGGTGGCTCAGTGGTAGAGCGCTTGCCTTGCATGCCTGAGGCCCTGGGTTCGATTCCCCAGCACCACATAAGCAAAAAGAAAAAAGCTGGAAGTGGCGCTGTGGCTCAAGTGGTAGAGCGCTAGCCTTGAGCTGAAGAGCTGAGGGACAGTGCCCAGGCCCAGAGTTCAGGCCCCACGACCAGACCCAAAAAAAAAAAAAAAGATGTTTGGAGGATTTATTAAATACTTGTTAGTAGTATTAGAATTATAAAAATTAGAATGTGGCCAGGCACCAGTGGCTCACGTCTGTAATCTTAGCTACTCAGGAGGCTGATATCTGAGGATCGTGGTTCAAAGCCAGCTTGGGCAGGAAAGTCTGTGACACTCTTACCTCCAAGTAACCACCAGACAACTGGAAGTGGTGCTGTGGCTCAAGTGGTAGAGAGCTAGCCTTGAGCTGAAGAGCTGAGGAACAGCACCCAGGCCCAGAATTCAAGCCCCATGACCAACAACAACAACAGAAGTAGAACGTAATCAATCTGATAGTAGAAATTGTTAACTTGTTTATATGAAACTAGATTGTTGTGGAATTTTATAACAATGTAGTTAGCTAAAGATAACAAGGCTTTGTGCCAGTACTGGGGATTGAACTCAGGGCTTTTGCTCAAGGCTAGCACTCTACCACTTGAGCCACAACGCCACTTCCAGCTTTTTCTGTTTATGTGATACTTCATGCATGTTAGGCTATACTCTACCACAAAGCCACCTTCCCAGCCCCTTGCTTAGTTTTTCTCATTCCAGGCTGGAGCTCTACCACTTGAGCTACACCTTCACTTCTAGCTTTTTCTTTTAAAAATTTTTTTTAAATTGAGATTAGATGATGACATAAATTTCACATATTTCATAGTATTGTGGAGTAGTGATAGTTATAGTCACAAACACATTTTAATCTTCACAAGGCAAATTGTCATTTTCATGGTCTATAAAGTTTATGAATTCTGTGAGCTTTGACAATACAACTATTTCTTCCATATCAGGTGATATTTACATTTCTTTCCTTTTGCTTAGTGTAAGCTGTTTCCTCATTCCCTCTCATTCCCTCCCTCCCATTGCTGCCTTTGAGTTGCTTAATTCATTTTTCTCAAGTCCAGTGCAGCTGATAGGCCCCTATGTTGTATGTTTTCCTGTTTCCCTCTGATTCTGTGTCCTCCTCCTTGCTTCCCTCAGGTATGTGCATATATATATATATATATATATATATATATATATATCTCACATATTTGGTCAAAAACATGGAGTCATTTAGCAATGATATGACAAAATGAGTGGAAGCCCTTTGTTTCTTGAGTCCTGTTTACTTTGTCATATTTCCTTGCATTTTGGCTTTAGCATCCACATCTCAGGGAGACCATGTGCTGTTTGTCCCTTTGCTCTTGGCTTACCTCACTCAAAATGATTTGCTGTAGTTCCATCCACTTCCCTGAAAATGCCATTATATATAAGTATCACAATGTTTGCATCCACTCATCTGTAGTGGGGCATCTTGGTTGTTTCCATATCTTGGCTATTGTGATCAGTGCTGCATTGAACATGGAGGTGTGTACTTGTTTCCTGGTTCTTGTTGCTCAGGGTAGATGCCTAGGAGTGGTATGGCTGGGTCATAGGGGAGGTCTATATTTAGCTTTCTGTGGTACCTCCAGACTGCTTTCCAAAAGGGCTGTATTAGTGTACATTCCCACCAGCAATGGAGTAGGGTTCCTCTTTCTCCACATTCCCTCTAGCAGTTG